TTATTATTATTATTATTATTATTATTATTATCATTATCATTGTCATTGTTATTATTCTTATTAACATTACTGTAGCTGTTATCATTAACAGTATTAACACCAAAATACTTCAGGACCATACAATAAAACCAAAATTATCAAAAAAAGAAAAAAAAAGTAAAAATTTCTAACTTACCGTACATTCACTTTTGCTAGACGGAGGTACCAGACCTCGAGCCAGTAGTTTGCGATCCAATTTACTAAAATAAATAGGCGAAAAATCGGTATCCACAGTGCTATCTTTCTGCAAATCGGAGGGTGAAATCCAGTCATCCGATGCGCTATCACCATAGTTCACGGAGAGTTTGCAGTTCTTAGTGCAAACATGCGGAAAAACTAAATCGCCTTCGTCGAAATGAACATCCGAAAATGCTGTTCCCAAAAACTGCATATTTTTCCAGAAAAATATCCTGCTCGATACCAAATCCTGAATTACATAAGAAGTTGTATTGCTTGAAAACGAAGATGTCAACCAAGTCCGTAGCAAGCAAACTGCTTAGAAGTGTGTTCACAACAACGAAGTCCAGTTGCAACACTGAACAGGAATGCATGCGATTTGATGGACCAAAACATTTCCATTCAGAATTTAATTTTAATTTATTCTCATTCCCTTTTTTTATTTCCTTACATCCTACATAAACACATACCAACTAAAATCAAAATTAAAAAAATTCTTTGAAATTTCTGAAACACTTACCAAGCAAGAAGTTATAACGTCGCCCACGTTGAACGGTTCTCCGTAATCCGTGAAAAAATTGTTGGTCGCTTTCTTCGCAAACGATCCGTATGCGTACGACTGAGGTGCTTCGCCCAACTGCAACAATAAATTATTACAAAAAAACTAGCAGAAACTTCTACTCAAAAAAAAAAAAATAAAAAAAAAACAAAACAAAAATTAGAGAAAAAATATTGCCGTAATTTAGGGGTTTTCACATCTTTACAACACGGAGGTTCATACATTTTCACATTTCGGTGTTAAAGATGGAGAGCACAAATATAATCCATTGCTTCGGGCCCTAATTATGCATCTTCAGTACGTATCGGTAATTTTTATAAGCTAAGGTCTCAGGGAATTTAGCGCGAAAACGCATTATTACTTCGGAAAAATAGTGCGTATGGTTGAAAAGTAAATAATCAGAAAAAATTTTTCGAGGGCAAATACGGGAGGGAGGGCGAGGGGGTCATCTAAAAAAGGGGATTTAAAAAATCCAAGCAGCGAATTTGACCAGG